GTGCTATGCTGTTTTTAGCTAATATTTTGATACTTTAGGCTTAAATATATAAATTTTCTACATACATGCCAGTAACTACGCTGAGCTACATTTAGCTAAAATTGTAGTATTTTTTATTTTAGCTTGTATTTTGCTCCCTTTCACTTTAAGCTACTGTTTTGCTCCTATTAGTTTTAGATACTCTTTTTCAGCTAATTTCAGCAAAGTCACTCAGTGCACAGTGTTTATGCTTTGCTGTAGTTTTTTATGATTGTTATTCAGAGTTCACTCACGGGGTCTTCAGCTTTGACCACTATGTCATGGACAGTCTGTCCTGAGTCTCGATCGATGTCCTGGGAGACACACAGCTCTCCGGTGTGTGGATGGATTTGGAAGAGAGGGTGTTTTTCCTGATTGTCAAAGCCATCAGACAATGAGTAGAGGACAGCACTGAACTCTGGGCTGTCTGCGTCTGTGGCTACGACCTGAAGCAAAGACACAGATGAGGACGTCATCATTTAAACACATGATCATTTAAAAAAAATTTCTCATTTTCATAATGAAAGTAAAATACTTTTTTGTATTTTGTAATGAATGCTAACTGCACATTAGATTTGTCTGGCTGGTTCTTTTTGTGTATTCTAGTGGGATGTGGTGCTGACTGTCGGCCTTTCCTGTTCTGTCGGAGAAGGTCAATATAATAAAAACATAAAACATTCCTGCAATCAGAGGGCGAGGACCATCGCCGCAAAGGAGATCAAAATACAGCAACTGTTCTGACGGAGCTCCTTTCATGTTTCATTGACAACAGACAGATTTTACAACAAGTTCTTATTTTATTTTCCTGTTGTAAAGATGATATCACCTCGGAGGGAATGAACTCTGATCACAGAAAGGTTCACAGAGATCATGGCAGACGTGTGCTGCGGCACACACACATCAAATCAGAACCGGAACTACTTCATCATGAGTCAGACGAAAACAAAATCAAGTCCACAAAATAAGAGGTCATCGTTTTTCTAACATCCATTAAAATTTAAACACATTTTTTATCAACTAGTGTCGAAGGTGAAGTGGTTATAATAGTTTTGATTATGTCTGTGCTTGTTTGTAGCGTTAGCAAAATATTTCATGAATCAAAGGATGGATTTCAATGAAACTCAGAGTTTCATCAATGAATTAACTTTTAGAGACAACCTCATTCAGCTAAGCCACCACTGCTAACTGAGGTTAGCCGACACAAAAACAACTGATTATCTCCCAATGAGATGTTACATTATGTCATTTCCAAGGTTTGACCAAAACTCTTCTCAACACAAGATGATTTTAATTTAAAACTCTATAGTTATAACACAGTGGATATTATAAAACATTTTRTGTTTAGAGCTCAGGAAAAGAAGACTTCTTTTGTAATGCTGGGGAGGGGGAATGTTTGTGCCAGGCTGCAGGACTGGCACCGAGCATCACATCGTCTGACGGCCACAGAGCGGAGCTGAGACGCCTGCATGTCGTGTGTGTTCACAGGGAACACTGATGTCTTTGTGCAAACATACTGAAAAAAGACACTTTTGTCTGAGAAGATAAATAATAGACACTGCAAGTGGAGAGAGCAGAGTTGGATGTGGGGAGGTTTTGAATGGCAAACGGTGAGGCTAGTGATAAAATGTGCTCCAAGATTTTACAAGAAAATGGGAAGATTTGTGAGTTTGTTGTTCATCTATTACTAATACTGTATGTTAAAATATGCAGGTAAGTTCCATTTTGTCGAAACAGTTTAAAATGAATGAATGTTTTTTTTTCAGCATTGAAACTTGGATTAAACCAATTTAACAAGCTCTTGTTCCGCTGGATGAATCATAAAACTCACTGCCAACTGCTTCCTTATTGAAACCACAAGTAAATCCTTTACAAAGAATTTAGTGGATTATTCAAAGTAAAACAAATGATGTTTTTGAAAAGAGAAGCTGCTGCTGAAACTTGTGACCGCTGTTAAATATAAAGCTATGAGAACCTGAACTGCGGGGGATTCTGAAGAATTCACTACTTTTGTGGTAAGGTTTTAAGACTAAGGTATGAACAGTTAATATCCTACCTGTTGTAGATAGATCTTTGAACAACCTCTGTTTCAAAAAATGGAGTTGAATTCTAATAATAATTTTATTCTTAACGACTGCATAAAACTTTCAGACTGGGGTTGTTTAAGGCAATGAAAATCCACTTTGTTTTTGATCTACAGAATTAGCCATTAGCTTTCAGGTGTCAGATTAAGGTCCTTAGAGGTCATTATGCTGAGGTCATTCAGCCATTTGATTCAGGTGTGTTGGAGTAAGAAAACAACTAAAACTTGCAGTACACAAGGACGTCCCTGCGTTAGCTCAACAATCCAATACAAATAAATATCTACTTCAAACAATGAATCAACTGAGATGATAATTAAAACCCTGCTTCAAAAGATCTGTTATTTGTTTGAGCAAAACTCAGGATTTCTTGTTTGATTTCCTAAATGATTGCTGCAGTCTGCTGAGTTCAACTGTTGTCCAACATACTTGCAAGAAGCAGCTCCCAACATCGCTGTGCTCTGGTAGGGACACGTTGTACAGCTGCTGCTGGAACACCGGCTCGTTGTCGTTGATGTCCTCCACCAGCACCGTGACCGTAGCCGTGGAGGACAGCGCCGGATCCCCTCGATCTGCTGCCAGGACCAGGAACCACACCTCCACCTGCTTCTCTCTGTCCAAAGCTGCAGCAGTGGTGATCAGGCCCGACTCGGAGTCGATGCTGATCAGGTCGCTCTGCTGTGACTTCATGATGGAGTATCTGACGTCTGAGTTGCCACCTTCGTCTGCGTCCCGGGCCTGAATCTGGATGAGGGAACTCCCCACGGGAGCATCTTCGGGGATGCTTATGATGTAAACGTCCTTGTCGAAAACTGGGTGGCAGTCGTTGGTGTCGGTCACTTTCAGTAAGAAGACCTCCTCACTGCTCAGTGGAGGATTTCCTAAATCAGATGCTTGGACCTTCAGCTCATAGAGGTCCTTCTCTTCCCTGTCCAGCTCTGAGTTAACACACAAGGCGTACAGGAAATCATCAGTTTGCTTCAGGGTGAACTTCCCATCCCCTCCCTCCAGAGTGACAGTGACCTTCTCGTCTTCAAAGTCCGGGTCTGACACAGAGATCCGAGCAACATAATCTCCAACGGCTGCTGCCTCGGACACCACAGCGTCTCCTGTCTCACTGAGGAACAGCACGCTGATGGTGGGGCTGTTGTCGTTGACATTCAGCACCCTGATGCCCACGAAGGCACTGCTGAACTCAGGCTGAGCTCCGTTGTCTCTGGCGCTGACGATCAGCTCGTGGAATGGCTGGGCCTCGAAATCGAGCCGCTTGTTTAGATGAACCAATCCGGTGGTTCCGTTAATGGAGAACACATAGTTGGGGTCACTCTGCCGCCGGTTGATCTCATAGGTGATTCTGCCRCTGTCTCCCAGGTCACGGTCAGATGCGTGCACTTGACAGATRATAGACCCAGTGGAAGCATCCTCGCCCACTGAGGTGTGGTACTCAGTCTGGTTGAACACGGGAGGGTTGTCGTTCTCATCCAGGATGTGGACTTTCACCTGCAGGGTCCCTGTCTTCACTGGGACCCCCCCATCAAAGGCCTCTATTGTTAGAAGGTAGAAGTCCTGTGTTTCTCTGTCAACTTTCCTCTTCAGAATGAGATCCAAGCCATGCTGGTTTTCAGATCCACTGCGGTAATCCAGCTGGAAGAGCTCACTCATCTCAGCCTCTGTGATCCTGTACCCCTGAGTACCAAACTCCCCCTTATCCTGGTCCTTGGCACCTTCAATCTGAAACCGGCTCCCTGGTGGGCTTAATTCTGATATCTCCAACAGCACCTCATCAGTGGGAAACACAGGTGAGTGGTCATTCACATCATCCACCTCTATCCTCACACTGATCATCTCCCCTGTGAGGGTGGCTGCCACGAACTCATACTGGTCCCTGCGCTCCCTGTCCAGGACCACAGCTGTGGAGATGATGCCCCTGTCTGCGTCTATCTCCAGGTCTCTGAACACGTACGAGTCTCTGCTCTCTGAGATGAAGAACCCGGTGCTGGGTCTAGTTAAAACTGCACCCAGATCTCCTACGATGGTCTTAGCAGGCAGACCCTCTTTTACAGAGAGCGACAGGTTGAACACCTGTCCGAGAGACTGTGCGCAAAGCAGTGCCAGGACCAGCAAGAACAACGCGCTCCGGCGACCCATTCCTCCCTAACCTTTGCAACAAAACCCGAAACCCTAATCCGGTTTTAGAGCCATTAAAAAAAAAAAAAAACACAAAACTAAACAAAGCACATCGTGTGCGCAGGAATTTTTAATAATTAAAAATCCAAACACGATTTATCGCAAATCCCTTGGAGTCTCTGACGCACACACTACATGGCACCTCCAAGCGCCAAACGCGCAATGAGCGCTCCTCCTCAAGTCAGCTCCAAGCGCGCGTGAGTGTGCGCGCAACCTCTCCAAGCTGATAGGCTCCATCTGTGGCCCTGATTAGTCTGGATGTAATTAGGCCGACGGATTACACATTAGAACCACATGTCGGACAGGTGGCGCATCATGTCTGACCTGCTGAAGATCACAATGAGCCGGAGAGCAGAGGCAACTAGAGCAGGACAGGAGATTGAGGTGAAGTTTTTCAAGTGATCAAACAAGATCAACGACGAGTCCTCAACACAAAAGTGTTGGAATGGCTCCCTCTGCTGGTGAAGGACAAAAGTGCAACATTCAAAAATCACGTCCGCCAGTAGTCTGTAAAATAAAATAAAATAAAATAAAATAAAATAAAATAAAATAAAATAAAATAAAATAAAATAAAATAAAATAAAATAAAATATTCTTCACAATTCTGGTGCATTGTATGAAGCGTAGTAAGGCTTTCTGGTCAAAATTATTTATTTACTGCTGAACATTTGATGTTGACATGCTTTTTTATCAACTGGGATTCAAAGGCAACGCAACAAGTGTGTTTTCAGCTAAGACTTAAAATTTTATGGCTCTGAGCATTTCCACTTAGGCTTATTTCTGCACCAACTAAAGAAACAATTCAAAGTTGCTTCAGGTTTCTCTTCAGAAATATCCAAAACAGTTTAATAATTTACCAGTATATTTTAAATGTAAACTTTTGATGTCATAACTCTTCTGTAATAAATATATTTTTTTGTGGAGACGTTAAATGTTGTGAATTCTTAAACAGTACCCAAGATCTGCAGAGCAATGCAATTAATTTTACTTGGTTTTCTTTCATCAATGATTAAATAATAAAAGCTGATCATTTTGTTATCAAAGCATAAAAATGCTGGAAATGTCCAAAATATCTMAGCACAAACAACCCAAACACCACAAAATCCTACAAAATAGTACCCTAAATGTAAATAGAACTTTTTTTTTCTTAGTGTCACTTCAGTAGAAAACGAAACCAAATATTAGTTTATTTGGTTTATTTACTTCATCATCAGTGACTATTTTTAAGTGAAGAGAAATAGAGACAGAGAGAGAAACAGAGAGTGAAGTAATTAGAAAGATAGAAAGATTGAAATAGCAGTTAGAAGTACACTGTATACACACACTCAGTGACCAGTCAGAACCCCCCCGAATCAGAACACCTGTCTGTGAGCAGTTGTGAACATGCGTGTATGTACAAGATTTCTCCGATGGAATATTTAATA